TGAGGTCATTTGTAAACAGAGACCACCTTTGGCCACCAGACTGCCACCCACTCCTCTGCCCCTCCAAGGGGTCCTAGACAGATGCCTGCTGCCCAGTCTCACTGCCCATTGGTCCAAGGCAGGTGGGGGCAGCAGCAGGGTGGGAGCCGAGTGCTTTGCGTACCTAAGAGGAGGCTGAGGGAGTACAACGGGCACCCGGCTAGGGCGGGAGGGCGTGGAGGTGAGACTGGCTGGTCAGCTTGCTCCTGCCTCTCTTGCATTCACTACTGGGGTTGTGGGGGAGGAGCAAATGGTGATCCAGTCCCTTCTGGGTGTCTGTACCATCTCTAGAACATGCAGCTAGGACAGCGCCGGGCCCAGAAGCAAGAGCTGTGAACAGGCCAGGTGAGCTGGGCAACTTTCCACCCCTCCTGAGCAACCCCACCCAGCTGAGACCCGCTACCCAGGAGTCTGCTGCCCTCTCTGTCCTGAGTGGATGAAGATAAATATTCCAGGTGTCACCTAGGTCCCCAAACAGAAGGCAGAGACATTGTCCCTGGCCTTCCCTGGGCAGCAAAACTGAGAGCTCAGGGCATGGCTAAGGGGACAGCAGGGAGGGAACAGAAGCTGTGGATTTAGGAGGGTGCCCTCAAGGAAAGGGGTGGAATCTGGGGGGCATGGGGGAGGGTGGGTGCTGCAGAGCCTTGGAGCAGAAGCACAACCTGGGGAGTGGGCATCAGCTACTCGTGTGACTGCACCTCCCGGGGCCTCCTGCAGGGCACTGTCAGGGCACCAAGCAGCCATGGAGAAGAGCAATTCCAGGGCTGGGGGCCTGGGGGCAGGGCTGGGGGAACTGGGGAAGCAGCAATCGGACAGATACCCGAAAGCCCTCTGTAAGCGGGGTCCCAGGAAGAGTCTTGGAGCAAATGAGCCTCTGGAGAATTTTATAAGCTTAGGCTGCCAGGATCCCAAGGGTAGATCAGGGGAGAAGGTAGGAGAAGGCTCTGTTTGGGGGATGCAGTGTTTCTGAACCCCAATCGGGGCACATGCTGATCTGATGGGTCCGGAAGAACTGAAAGGCCTGTCCTGAGCACAGTGCTCCTGGAGGGGACTGAAGTTGGTCCTTGTTTTGTTCTTTTTAAAACTGTGGCAAAATACACACAATATAGAAGTTACCATTTCAACCATGTTAAAGTGTACAATTCAGCATATTAAATACACTCACAATGTTGTGCAACTGTCACCACGATCCAGTTCCAGAACTTTTCATCACCCTAATGAAGCCTCAGACTCGTTAAGCAGTCACTCCCCATTCCTCCTTTTCTCAGCCCCCAGCCACCACCACCCTGCTTTCTGTCTCTATGATTTGCCTATTCTGGATATTTCATAAAAGTAGAATCATGCGATATTTGTCCTTTTGAGTCTGGCTTCTTTCAGCTGTTTTCAAGGTTCACCCACACTGCTGTGGGCATCAGAACTTCATCCCTTTGTATGGCTAAATGATATTCCATTGTATGGGTAGACCACACTTCCGTTACCCATTCATTAGTTGAAGGACACTTGGGTTCATCTCTTTCAAGTTATCATGAAGAGTGCTGCTATAAAGACTCATGTACAAGTTTTTGTTTGAACATCTGTTTTCCATTCTTTTGGGTATGTGCCCAGGAGTGGAATTGCTGGGTCATATGGTAACTCTCTGTTTAACTGATCAAGGAACCACCAACAGTTTTCCACAGTAGCTGAACCATTTACAACATCCCCACTAGCAACATATGAAGATTCTAATTCCTCCACATCATTGCCAAAATCTGTTATCATATTTTTATTTTTTTAATAATGGCCATCCCAATAGGTGTCTTAGTCTTTGGTTTTTCAAAAGACCCAAGATTCCCTGTGCGGAGAGCAGGGCCCTGAGGTAGAGTCTAAGCTGAACATCAGTAGACAGGAGGCTGGAGAGAGCTTTATCTGTGCCCAACATCTGTGCTCGGATGCAGAGAGATGCACCCAGTCTAGACACTGCTGCTCTCTCATAAGAACTGTATAAGCCGGATGTCCCTCCCCTAACAGCCCCCTTCCACCACACCAGCCCTCCCTCTGTAATGGGAGCCCACCAAGGGGGCAGCTGGCAGCCTCCTCCCCTGGTCCGGCCCCTTCTCCCCACACCAGGCTGTTGTCTTTGTTCTCCAAAGTGTCCCCGACAGTTACCTTGTTGTTGTAATTACTGTTCATAATCTAATTAAATGTTATATTAATGGATGACATAGAAATACACAAACAAGCATTCAGACATTATTTCTTGTGCAAACACAGTAGAATGTTTTAAAAGACACAATCTGAGTCATACACAATATTCATTAGCTGTCAGATCAGGTGTGGATGAGACAAGTAAACAACTGGATGGGAGGAGATTGTCAGAGTCTACATGGTTCAATTTTTCAACCACTTTGCAACGTCCCTTAAACTCACCCTCCGCCTCAAAGAATCCAAAGCTGGACGTTGGAGATGGCATCTCATCGGTGTGGATTTCATAAGGAAGACGACTCAGAACTGCAGGGACAGACCCGTAATCCAAGGAGAGGCCTTGAGAAAGATCAGTGACTGTACACTTACTCGTTAGATGTTAAAATGAGTTTCACAGGTCAAGTTGTGTTCCCAGAAGTGATGTCAGTCCTAACCACTGGTACCTGTAAATGTGACCTTGTTTGGAAAGAAGGTCTCTGCAGATATAATTGAGATCATTAGGATGGGCCCTAGTCCAATATGACTGGTGTCCTTATGAGAAGACAAGAAACACAGAGACACACAGGGAGGATGCCATGTGAAAACAGAGGCAGGGACTGGAGTGACGCAGCTGCAAGCCAAGGAAAACAAAGATTGCCATCCAAATCGGGAAGAGATAAGGAAGGATTCTACCCTGAATCTCAGAGGGAGCGTGACCCCGCTGACACCTTGATTTTGGACTTTGTCTTAGTCAGCATGGGCTGCCACAGCACACACCATGGGCTGGGTGGCTTAAACAACAAGCATTTATTTCTCACAGTTCTGGAGGCTGGGAAGTCCAAGATCAAGGTGCCGGCCGACTCAATTCTTGGTGTGGGCTGTGTCCTGGTTTGCAGACAGCTGCCTTCTTGCTGTGTCCTCATGTGGTGGAGAATGAGATCATCTCTCTTGTCTCACTAATCTCCTTATGAGGACTCCACCCTCAGGACTTAATTACCTCCCAAAGGCTTCACTGCCACATACCATCACACTGGGGATTGGGGCTTCAGCATATGAATTTGGGGGAGCACACATTCAGTCCACAACAGACTTCTAGCCCCAGACTGACAGATAATAAACTTGTGCTCCTTTAAGCCACCCAGTTTGTGGTCATTTATGTAAGGCAGCCCAAGGAACTAATACAATGTGTAAAGTATGTAGGTGACTTTTTAACGATTCCCATCTTTAACTGATCTTTTGAATAAACCCACCTCCCACCCAGTCCCAATCATCCAGGATAAGCAGGCCAATCGCACAGGGCCCTGAGCACCCCACACAGCAGAGCAGGCTTAGCCAGAAACTCCACCTGGGTTTGGGTCTCGTCTCTGCGACTCACATGTCACCTTGTAAAAGTCCCTTCTCTACCCTACACCACAGTCTTTTCTGCTGCAAAATGGGGTCACTCACTCATGCATCCCACACATAGTTTCTGAGCATCACTTTCTGTCCCAGAATCTGAGGGCAGTGAGTAGATAAGGTCCCTGTCCCCGTGGAGCTCAACCTGCAGAAGACAGAAAATAAACATGGAAACACACATCCACACAAAAACCTAAGGCTGAGATCAGAGCTATAAAGAAATTGAGACCTGATTTGTGTTCATGATGTGTGCAGAATGGGGCCTCTCTTCTCCTGGACTTGGCGGTGGAGACATTGATGGGGGTAGGGCCTGAAGGACAAAAATGAGCAGGAGGTGAGGTGGAGGCGGGCAGGAGCAGGCAAAGATCAGAGCTGCAGGACCAGGAAGATTCAAGCAGAGAGCAGGGCAGGACAGGGCAGTTCCCTGGACAGAGCAAGACCTAAGGGATGTGTCCAGTGTGAGAGCTGGATCTGGGGCCTGGGGCTGGGGCCCCCAGGGTGCCCTTCTCTGAGCCTTGGTTTACTCATCCATGAAGTGGGGGTATTCAGGTAAGGTTAAGCTGCTGTAACAAAGAGACTCACAATAAGCCTATGACTTAAGGAAGATAATGTATATAACAGTCCATGGTGAGCATCCCATGACCCTGCTCCATGCAGACATCTGAGGATCCCGTTCCTTTCATCTCTTTTCTTCCCATCCCTTAGGACAACATTCTCCTCTCCATAGCCAATGGCCTGTCCATGACTGACTTGTGAGAAAGGGAAAGAGAGAGACAAAGGGCCCTACACTCTCTGTCCAGTTTCCTGAGGGACTCACATCATTTCTGCTCAATTCCATTGGCAAGAAATGGCCACATGGCCATTCCAAAATCCAAGGGAGTCTGCAAATGAAATTCTGGTCATGTGCCTGCACAAAGGGGCATGGATTTAAAGGACGGCTCGTAGCCTCGGGTATAGTGATACCTCCTTGCAGGGGTGCCATGTGTAAAGCACCTGGCACTTAGTAAGAGCTCAATAAAAGTGTACAATGTCACTGAGGTCAGGGCTCCCAGGGGCCTTGGAAACTCTCTGGTCTAATGTCCTTATTTCTTCACAGTTAAAGAAACAGGCACAGAGAGGAGAGACATCTGCCCCAGTTGCCCAGTGGGTAAGGGGCAAATCTGGTCCAGAAACCTGTTTGAGATCCTCAACCCCATCCTCTCATATCTTATTTCAAATTACCTGGTCCAGCTCCACTGGGGGCTGGGCCGAGAGCAGGGATCCAGATGACCTCTCCACCAGGTGGCAGGGTTGGGGACAGGATCCTAAGAGGGACCCTGTGCTCCATGGCAGTGCCCAGGCCAGGCTGCACAGCTCTGTGACCAGGTAGGTGTGGTCCTGGTTTCCTAGACAGGAGGCAAAGCCACTCTGTGACAGAGGGCCACACCCAGCCCCTGGGAGGGGAAAGCGGGCTGTGAGCAGCTGTCACACTGGGACGTACCAGTAGGTGCCTGGGGAGGATGGCATGCCGGGGTTTCC